CATACACATATATATATGCATATACATACACATACATACATGCATACACATACATACATGCATATACATACACATACATACATGCATATACATACACATACATACATGCATATACATACACATACATACATACATACATCCACATACATCCACATACATAAATATATACATATAAATATATACATATAAATATATACATATAAATATATACATATAAATATATACATATAAATATATACATATAAATATATACATATACATATATACATATACATATATACATATACATATATACATATATACATATATACATATATACATATATATATATACATATATATATATATATATATATATATATATATATATATATATATATATATATATATACATACATACATATATGTATATGTATATATGTGTGTACATATGTGTGTGTATACATATACATATAAATATACATATACATATACATACAAAGCTTCCCAGTTTAGACCCTAACACCTGTATCTTCAAAAAAGAACAAGAGGAGAATGGCAAAGTCTCCAGTTTTTGCAGACACAACAACTGCCCTTCAATTCCACCCCTTCCCTCCAGGTACAAACGCCAGGCAACTGACCAAGACTGGGGGAATGTTTGGCCAGCAGCCCGGTCCTTCCATCCCGCCACCGTACCCCTGCCTGTACGCCAGGGCTACCCGGCGAAGAGCCAGGCTTCTCCCGACAAGTGGGGCAACGCGGAGCTCATGAAGATCCCCAACTTCCTCCACCTCACACCCCCTGTTATTGAGAGGCAGTGTGAGGCTCTCAAGAGTGAGTTATTTCGGTGCTCGGCAGTCAACAGCAGCCGTGTGCAGATTTCATTTTGCGGTTTTCCGATTAGTGTTTGCTGATTTTTTTCTTTGTTTTTTTCTTCTTGCTTTTTTTTTTTTTTTTTTTTTTTCCTTATCTTTATCTTCTCTTTGCTGAGAAATTGTGATGATGAAGTTATGAATGAATGAGTGTGGTGCTTCTTTTTAACCCATTCATGACAGGAAAAATTAATAAAAAATGGGAAAAATGCTGTGCTAATTTTTCATATTTTTTGTGAAATGTCTCTACATGTAGATGGATCTGCCTTCCCTGATTTCACCTTTCCTTGAATTGGCGGGAAAATGTACTTTTTACTTGTGCAATGAATATCAATGGTGTTGTTTTTATTATAAACATTATAATTACTGTAATGTTATAAACATTAGTAATAGCAAAATAAGATCATGCAAAATATTTTCATAAATTAACCCAATGGTGCCGGGGAAAATGAACAAAAAATGGGGAAAATATTGTGCCCACTTTCTATGTTTTTCGTGAAATGTCTGCCGATAGATGGCTCTGCTAGCGCCTGATTTAAATGGCGGGAAAGACGTATTTTTCACTAGAGCTATGAAAATCAATGGTGTTATTTTTATCATAAACATTATAATTTTTATATATTTTTTAAACATTAGTAACAGCCAAAATAAGATTACATAAAATATTTCGTAAATCAAAGAAACGGCTAAACGGGCGAGACGGGCGGTGCTCGTAACTGGCTCATTGGGGAGTTAGTACAAGTGTTGCCATCTATGCGTAAAAACAATCAAACAAGTACTCACTGTGGGCATAACACGTACGTACACGTCATACCCGGCACCAAGGGGTTAAAGAAAAGGGTAAACGGGCAAGACAGGCAGTACTCGTAATTGGCTCATTGGTGATTTAGTACAAGTGTAGCCATCTATGTGTAAAAACAATCAAACAAGTAAACTCACAGTGGGCATGTCACGTATATGTGACATGCCGGTTGCGAATGGGTTAATTATTTAATTATGTAGATTACACTTCCATTTTTGTCTTCAAGATTAGATATGACACGATGGCTTGGTTTATACATTCACTCGTCCTTCATTTCCAACCTTCACATTGATGCTGGATATTAAACTCGCTTGTGGATTTCCCCTCATGTCTTTCGTTCTTTGTTTCTAGTTCTCCATAAAGTAGCTAACCATTATAAATAAAGACAAATCTCCTATCAGTAGTTCTTTCATCAAAATTTTCTTGTCTTGGTAATATGTAAATGATAATAACTCTTTTCTCGTAGTATAACTTTGGCATGCATTTTTTATAAAGGTGAAGGAGGAGGAAGATAAATGTTATAAGAAAGATACAGAAGGCCAAAGACAGTAAATTTAGGTGTGATAGAAAGTGTGTAACATTGTTTTATTATGTGTGAGGTCTTATCTATAAGTTTTGGTGTTTTTAGCATGTGTTTTGTTATTACTGCCACTATAATTAGTGTATTGGCATCACCATCATCTGAAGCATATGAATTATAAATAACATTATTGACATTATGTTTATTTTATCATCCCTTCTGTTTCTCCTTATCCTTTCTTCTGCACTTTTGTAAACATAAAGTAAATCAGTAATATTTTTATTCCAGAATTCTGCACCCCCTGGCCAAGTGGCCTCGAAAACACCGAGAAGCAAGAGAAGCACTTCCCTGTGACAATAGCCAAGAGCTCGTACCTTCACTCGTCCCCCAGCATACGCGACCCTAAGTCCAGAATCGTAACCCTGAAGGTGGGCTGATTGTTGACGGCGATTTGTGAATTAAAGTTGAATTGTGAAGCATTTATACTTTTTTAGTGTATGAATGAAGTTTTGGTTTGATATTGATTTAAGTCTTTTGATGGTAATTATGATATTTTGACATTAACCCACTGGATCTGATTGTGTCATGGCAGTCAAATCACCATGATGGGCACATGTGCACAGTGCCTCTTACTTGCAAAGTTGTTTACAAAGTTATTATTTTTTTAAACATAAGCGGTTTTAGCTTTTTGGCTCTTTTCATATGTCCATAATTGCCTTTAGATTTGCATTATCCAGATGGTACTATTTTTTTTCTTTGTGCAGACACTAATCATCTCTCAAGGTAGTCTACAACTCAGTCTAAGAAAACTAAAATTATGCAAAACTATGTTATGTATGTCATGTTTATATATATATATATATATTACTTAATATTCAATTTTCTAAAATACAACCTGCATTGCCAGTCATGGCGCCGGGAATAAGATACTGAGCATGGAAATGGTGTCCTCCATGGAGCCGGCACTCTTCCAGTCACCACTCATGGTTATTTCAGTCTGCACTCATACATTACTACAAAATTGCCAAATGAGTAAAGTAAAGCTCTGCACTCGTGGCAAGATATTTCCATCACCCCGGCCTTCAGCCACAACACTCACGACAGCAGGTTCATGTCGCCTGACCTACAGCCAGATATTTCCGTGATGGCATGTTCCCATCGGATTTTTTCATGACGTGATGGTCAGGACACCCGGATCCAATGGGTTAGAATGAAATATGTCAAGATTATGTATTGGGCTAATCCATACGTTCCTGACTGATACCCAAAGCCTAATCTCTTTATGTAATATTTTGGTATTGTTTGATTTTATATTAAAATAGTAACAGGAAAATAGAACGAAAACTTTATATAATTTTACCTTTATGTGCCTCCAAAATCTTAATTAATTGCCAGAATTTTTCTCAAATTTAAGTTTCTCTCCAGTATTTTAGGTTACAATATTCAGGTCAGACCTCTTAAGTCTCAATCTCGTGACATTGCTTTTCAACCTAGCAAGATCCTAAACTGCAGTTATTTCATTCATCTGGCTGTACGGAATATAGAATTGTAGAAACCCTCTAACGCGGCAGAAAAATCATCCCCAATATGTTTTATCTGTGGAGCTAAACATCCTCACAGTATTTTAGATATATTCACAATACACAAAGAGAAATCAGAAAACATTACCACACCCATCCCTAACAGGTTCACTTCCGAAGTCTTGACCTGGACACACACGCGCGGGACAAGCTGCTGCGTCTGGTGGGCGACCGCTATGACCCTGCAACTGACTGCCTAACCCTGGTGGCTGACAGGTGCCCACTTTCTCAGCAGAACAGAGACTATTGTCATTACCTTCTGACAGTCTTGTACAATGAAGCTTTGGTAAGGGAACTGCATCTCTTTAGTTCATAGTTCAGAGAATATATGTATATGTGTGTGTTTCATTAATTGTATATAGGGGAGGATGTGTAGGATATTTGATTGTGAGGATAGTGAATTTTATTTTGTTTGGTGTATCATAAGCTGTTGTTTGTTTGGAAGACATTCATCTTGCACTACACATAGAGTAGAGCGAAATTCACATAACATATTGTAAGAGTTTGCATATGGTGACAGCAGAGGTAAGTAGCTTAAAATAGAAGAAAAGAATATGAACATGCACATGCATGAACAGATGCATGCACAGGCCCACACTCACACATTAACGTTCACTCTCTCACACACCTATACCCATATTCATACCCACACATACACACCCATACCCACCCATACCCACACACACACACACACACACACACACACACATCCATACCCACACACATACTAATACCTTTAACCACACACATACACACACACACATACACACACACACACACACACACACACACACACACACACACACACACACACACACACACACACACACACACACACACACACACACACATACTAATACCTTTAACCACACACACACACACACACACACACACACACACACACACACACACACACACACACACACACACACACACACACACACACACACACACACAAGCACACACACATAAGCACACACACATAAGCACACACACACACACACCCTACATACATACACACACACACACACACACACACACACACACACACACACACACACACACACACACACACACACACACACACACACACACACACACACACAAGCACACACACACACACACACACACAAGCACACACACACACACCCTACATACACACACACACACACACACACACACACACACACACACACACACACACACACACACACACACACACACACACACACACACACACACACACACACACACACACACACACACACACACACACACACACACACACACACACACACACACACACACACACACACACACAATTTAAAAACAGTCTTGTCCCAAGCCAACTGTAGCCATTCCAAAACCCTCGGGTCTTCCCTCAGCGCCAGATTCTGTAGTTATTCCTGTCTCTAGTATATATACACATGTATATAAAAAGAGAAAAGAATAGAGGTTATCAACAAATTTGAAGAGAATGAAGGGGGGTTTCAAAGGGTATTAACCTATTGACTACCAAAGAAGGGACCCTGGAGCTAGTAGCTACTTGTTTAAGGTGAGAGATCACCCAGGATACACAGGGCCAGTCTGGTATCAGCTGGACTGACACTGAAAAGGAGAGGCTTTGTTTTATAGCAGTAATGCCATATAGGCAGCACAGTGGGATGTAGAGGTTGAAATTGCACACTTCCCCCCCACAGAAAACAGAGCCATGGGAACATGAGAAGGAAGTGATTGACAACGAGCGCTACGTGTGGCAAGGCAGTCCCTCGGAGGCAGCACTCAAGGTTATTTCAGCAGCCAAGGGAGAGGCAGTGCCAGAAGCAGATGTTGAGAAGTACAGAGATGCCGTAGCAGAGTTGCATAATGAGGGTGGGTGATATTTCTTCATTTTTTCTTCTGCTTTGGCTTTTTCCTTTTCTTTTTTTTCTCTTCCGACTTTTTTTTTTTTTCAGCTGTGGTTATCACTTGTTCATTTGCTCTTTAATTAAATAACGGAGCTGTGAAGTTTTATTTTTTGCTCTACCGGAGAAATACTATTATGTTGAAAACAGAAATATTTATGTGTATTGATTGGGTTGTATAAATACTTTTAAGTCACATTGTTCTCATTCATCTTTATTGCATTACTGAGAATAGTAGTTCTTTTCTATACACAATTCACAGCAAGAAACATGCATCAAAATGTATTACACATTCTGATTTTAGATTTATTAATTTTCATACTTAGATATTCATTTCAATTGGTTTGTCATTTCTCCAAAAGTAATTGAAACTTTTTATTCTTTTCCAGGGGAGGATGAAACAACATTAGCCAAATATCGAGAAGCAGTGATGAAGGTTGCTGGCTTAGCATAAGGGCATTTGAATTCCCCAAAGTTAGTTGTCAAAAACAGTTCATTCATAGAAGTCAGAAGTTGTTACCGAACAATGTAAAACCTGTGTACAGTAAAACGTGTATATTTTGTTATTTGTAAATAGATTTTCTTTTCTTTCCCTCCCCCCTTTCAGTTATAAGGGTTGGTTTGTTGAACTTTTATAATGAAATACAAGAAATAAATTAGTTATATGGTTTTATTATGAATATGAACATTCCTTTCTTTGGTTATTATATCTTAATAATCATAGTTACATTACTGCATGTGTTAAACCAATGCCGCCAGGTGGTTTCCCAATACAAAAGCCCTCTCTCCCAGGCTGATTATGGTCACACAATCAACAAGAGTTAAATGAACATAGAAATAAGATATATATTTCATATATGACATAAATATGACAAGAATTCAATACTGAGTACAGTGACATTTTGTGACATATGTGCACCAGTCTGGATATGGTTAATAGTTAATGGTTAGAAGAAATTTATGTGCTAGACATCAAAGATCATATTACACTATTGTAAATTATTGAGCCAAAAAGATTGGAAATGAGTAAACAATCAGGATAAGATGTGTTAGATGTCGAAGGTTGTAGAGCGCTGTAGGATAGAATGGTAATGAAAAGAGTATAGAGGAGATGCAAGTGGAATATGGTGGGGATTTGTAAAATGGAATGGACAAGAAAGATGAATAGTAGTAACAAGGGCAGATGGGGGTAGACAATGAAGAAGAGTGTGCCGTAGGAGGAGTCAAGGATGTTGGGGGAGAGGAAGGGGTATATTCTGAAGGTTGAGTAATTAACTAGGTGGTTAATTTGGGATGGATTGAGTTGACTGCAATTATTGAGGGGGGTATTAGTATCACAGCCATGATCAAAGGAGAGGCAGGGGTCAGGAAACCAATGAAATTAAATTTAGATAGGTTGGGTGTGGAAGGGACAAGCCTTAATGCCCCTAATAATGGTTAAAAAAAATCAGCATTATTGGCCATGGTTAGCCTGAAATAAATGCAGAAATGAAACGGTTAAGGGCTAGGCGATTAACCAAGAAAATACCATCCCCATGGCTCCTGGAGGCCATTCATGGCTGACACAAAACCAGCCTTTCATCCTCTCAGTACACCTCTTCACAACTTAGAAAGTGGACAGAAAGAGATGAAGAAGAAAAGGAAAAGGAAAGACCATGCAAAATTAGTTGAGGAGAGGGTTAAGGTCCAATGTATGGGTGATCCCCTACACTAGGCTCCAGTCTCCGTTTCCTAAGCCCCCACACAACAAGCAAGGGATTAGGGTAAACAGTTTTCCCCCCTTTATATCTTTCATTAAACAACAAAGCCCCCAAAATGTACTAGTGATTCAGGTTATATTTTAT